ACTTGAAACTGCTCCTGATATTGTTGCTGCTTATGAACGAGGGTTAAAGTCTTAAAAATTTCTGCGGTGGAACTCAAAAATGGGCCGGCAGGAATGCAGTAACCCTGTTCAGAAGTAGTATGGGGCCCAAAACTCAGCCCCAGGCAACGCAGACCAAAGTTGGCCTGCACTGGGCTGTGACCAGGACACGCCCAGGCCTGAGTCTGTCGCGTTTGGCTGTGTGACCAAATGCTGCACCCAGGAAAGTCAAGGGTCAAAGTCAACTGTAGAGTCAAAGGTACCGCGTCCAGGCCCTTGGTTGGATACACTCACTTGTTGTGCGCAGGTACCTAGACAAGCATCCAGGCCGAAGGGAATTCAGTTTCAGGCCAATCTGGACGGCTACAGGTTGCAGCATCCGGGGTCCAGACCCCGAGTCAACATAAGCGTTGACCTCCCTGGCTTTGACATTCATTCTATCTTGCATTGATGCTGACTTCACACGTTGACTTCAACGCTGGCTCGACGCTGCGACGCTGGCATTGTGATTCGGCGAGGCGCTGCTGGTCCGGCATGGTGGCTGGCTTGCACCTGTCTTTTTGGCATGCTGACGTGGCAGCTGCCTTGAGCTGTCGCTGATGTGGCTCCTGCCACGTGTATCATTGGCTGACGTGGCTGCTGCCATGTGTTCTTCTGTTCGCTGACGAAGCGATGCTGCGTGACTTATTTTGCTGTTCTGATTATCGTCATTCGGGAGGAGATCGGGACTATGGAGAGATCGTGGATATGTACCTGGTTGTCTTCATGTCGACATTGCTCCAGCATTGATGAGGGACTGATTAGAGATGCCACGTGGCACATTGAGGTTACTTCAGATACTCGTTCAGACTATTGATTATGGAGGTGGTGATTGAGGAGGGGGCCCAAAGCAGGAGTGGGCCTTGTATTGATTCCCTCTTCTTTGTCTAATCTCCCTCCTCTCTCCTTCGTCTGTGTATGATTATCTCATCTCATTCTGTCTGGACACAATTTTGACTATTGGTAATCATCAGCTGGTTGAGATTCATCTGGGCTTGCATTGTTGACGACTGTCTTCACGATCTGGGTTCATTGCAGCCTAGTTAAAAATTCAATAAATTGTTAAAGAGTAAAAAAAACTGTTAAGAAGATTAGGATGACCATGGGGCAGGCAGGGACATACACAAACCGAGAAGTGGTCCCCAAAAAAAAAACAAAAAAAACAAAAAGGGCAGAAAAAAAAGAAATGCATGAATGCAAGCTTGTGTAGCCGATGCTATGAATTCAGTCTTAAGGGGCCTCTCGGGCCAATGCTCAGAGGAGGGCTTTCCTGGATGTATCTGACCGTATTCACAGCAATGCCTCAATGCATCTGGCCGCAATTACAACTGGAGATAAGTTTAAAAACGTTTTGTATGAGAATGAGCTCAGTTCTGGCAGCTATCACTTTAGGCCCCTTGAACTGGAAATTGTTTGAGAACAATGGATGGACTTGATAGTGGAATGTAGGCACCGGGGTTTGATCCGTGCATCTCTGATTGCAGGGTTGCTGTGTGCCGCCCTATACAGCTTCCTCAGCCTTTTGGCTAAGATCAACTGTATATCTGTTCTCTTCAGTTTAATATCTTACTGCACAGCTTGTAATGTCGAATTCTTGCAATCTTGGGATCTGATTCTCCACCACACAATCTCGTCTGTGTGTGTGTATGTGT